GACCCCAGATTGTTAGCTTACAAATAATACAATTTTAAAAAATTGCCTGGATGGGGATTCTCTTGTTTTCTGGTGCTGGTGCCTTTGAGGATCTAGATTGCCGGCTTTGTCTGTAATTCCAAGACCTAAACACAGACTTTTCAAGTGGGGACTTTAGGGGGGGTTGCTTATTTTTCTTTTATTAATGAAGCTAAGGGGAGTTGAGTGTTTTGAGATGCGACCGAAGTCTAAGCAGTTCTTCCAGCCACTGCAGTGAAGGTGCAGTGATTTCCATGGCAGACAGCAGACGAGGGGGTGACTCAGCTGCTGTCGCCTCCAGCTGCCAGTTACTGTCTGGTGTCAAAGGCAGGAGGAGCTGGGGCCGGCTGGCGTGCAGGTAGTCTTTGCGAGCCAGGTTCATGCATGTGCTTCTGTTCCCTAACGAGACGTGTTAACCACACTACTAACTGAGAGGCATGACTGGAGAGAATTAAGCAGCTCCTTGATTATGGGAATTTAGGACTTCTTCAAGAAAAATGTTCCATGTGAGACCATGTTCCGTGTGAGACCTGCGGCACATCACAAGCTGCCAAAACTGCAGGCTGGCTTTCCGACAACAGAAATGTCAGTGGCGCTTCCAAACTTGAGTAGCTAAAGTGTGGTTGGTTTGGGTTTTTTTTAGTTGGAGCCATTTTTAACGTGAACACACAAAAATGGGGTAAATTGCCAGAGCCTTCCTATGGTGCTTTTGTAGCCTCACTTGTCGAAGGAAAGCGACACCACTGCAGAGAGCCTGGGGGAGTGGGCAGCCATGCCTGCCTTCCCTGCGGGCCAGGGCGAGCTCCCACGCAGCCCCAGGTAACCGAAAGGCAGCTGGGGTGTGCCGTGTGCTGGGGGTTGGCTTGCGCTAAGGGAGGAGAACAGGGACGTGTGACAGAGTTTGTTGTCCTAAGAAAATACTGTTAAGGATTTTCTTTTTTCTTAGAAACTGTTTCTTCCTCTTCTGGGAAGCCTATAATAAAAGAGTTGGAGGGGAAAAAAAAGAAGGAAAATAATGCTGTTTATTTAAATGTAGGTGAATATTTCCAGTTCTCCACTGTAGCTCTTAATAAAAAAAAAAAATATAAAATTTTGTCATGCCTGTGAATAGTTTTATGAAGCTCCTCAGGGCCAAGTAACAGATGAAACCTTCACCATCTAGAATTGGAGCAGTTGTGTGTTAGTGTTTTCCTGAGCTCTGCCTACCGTTGCAAGCAAGTGTAATGAATCACCCACTGTCTGCAGATCTCAGTATTGCTTCGGAGCTGGTGTCTTCACTGAAGACAGCTGGAATTTGCTCCAAGTTATCTGAATCACAATATATATCAGGATGTTGAGCGTTTCCTATAGTATTTTGTTGTAACCATTTGTTTGATAAACAGTAGGACTCTTACCTGCATGAAATCTGTGGTCTAGGAAAAATGTTGGCTTGATTGTTTTAAAAAGATGATAGACTTGAAAATCAGCCAGAGGCTGAGCCCAGCTCAAGTCACGAGAGCTTGGCAAAACTGCCCGCTTTTTCAGCAGAACATAGTGAGTGTTGAACAACATAGTTGGGATGAGTGCGATGCCATTAGAGAAATGGTGCTTTTTAGGCAGTGAAAGATGATGTACGCTTAATTTTAAGCAGGTATGCTGGCCTGCTGGGGGGACGGGGTGCCAAAGCATTCAAGTAACTGTACTAAATCGCTGTTCAGCAGAACAACACTCAGCTATTGATGGCAATCTATGTATTGTGTTTCTGGCCAGGGTTTGGCTCTTTTGGGTACATAAATTGCACTGTTTCAGAGCTTAGCTGTCCGGGACATTCACATCTGTAAGGGAAAACCATTAAAACTCACTAACATGAGAAGTGTTTAGCTGTAGTAGAAAGGAGGAAGGGGAAAAAGTAAAACCACAACAAACCCCCCGAAATTAAGAGGCTCAGGGCACTACTAGTATGTTCCTTAAGCTACTTGAACATGGGAGTGGTGAGTGTTGGAAGCTATCCCAAATGAGAGTGCTAGCAATAAGCTGTATTTGGACATTCCAAAAAATCATGCCTGGCAGCCCTATTTTATATTAGCAGTTAGTGATTATAACCTTTAAAAGATAGAAATTGATCTGTACAAGTTAATCTCTACTTAAGGGATTGGCTTTTTTTGAACCCTCAGTTGGCTTAGGATCTGATATGCTGAGTTACTCTTTGTCCAAGTGCCCCGAAGATCAATGGAGTGCTTTAAAAGGGAGGGTAAAGGGCACACCACCATTAGCTCTTCACTGCTGGGTGTTGTGTGATTGCAGTTAATTACAACAGATTTAGAAGCAAGGCCTTAGTTTCTAGGCCTGCCGAGCATCCCATCTAGAAAAGGAGGTGATGATAGCCCACTGCTGCGGGTTATTTAGAAAATTCGCTGCTGTTGGAGGAGCTCACCAGGTCTGTATGGGCACTGCCTGTGTCAAAGGCAGTTATCAGAAGGGTCAAGCACCAACAGTCTGAATTTAAGCACATGTTTGGAAATGAATTTCTTAATGTGCCTGTCCTCGTGCAGCATGGTCAGTGCTATTACACAAGCAAAACTGGCATTTTCTGTACGGAAAAGGATTAGCACGTTTAACAACAGCATTGGGATAAAGGACGGGGTGGGTGAAGCCGAGGCTTGGATGAGGGAAAGCCTGTCGGGACTGTCAGAATACGACGGCTCGTGTTACCCCCCAAAAAACTGCAGTGGGGATCTGTGGCAATTCAGCCTCTAAAATGTCATTTTGTCAACTTTTTTCTTTTTTTTTTGTTTTAAGGGGAACATTACAAAAGGCATCCTCAGGTCCTCAGACAGAACCACACTTTTGAAATGGAAGCAGCAGCCTGAACGCAGGACATGGTTTCAGAAGGGCAGTCTGCAGGGCATTAATTCTCCATTTCAGGAAAGCTGGGTAAGCCCTACAAAAAGGTTGGTGGTGCAGACAGTTGGCAGGCTACTTCCCAGCTCTCAAATATGGGTAACTTCTGTTTGTTCTTTCATTCTTCAAAGATCAATGCAAACCTTTATTTTCTATAAATAATTTAATAATAAATACTTTTGTTTTACAATGATACAACAAATAACAAATTCATAGCAAACGAGTCACAAAGAATTTAGGATCAGTATACTTTAATAAGGTATCAGTATCAAAATACATTTCCTTATCAAGTTAAAGTTCCCATACAGTTATAATATTGTCAATAAGAATTCAGCAATATAGATTATGAAATAATTATGATAAAAAGTATGATTAATATTAAGACATGGAATAGTTTTCAGAGTGTTTTAGTAAACTGTTAGGGTATAACATTTTTAATGCTGAAACTACACAAATAAGAAAGAGAACAGCAGTATTCAAGTGTCCTTTAATCCTTGAAGCCTTTAAGTCCTTGCTACTGCATATTTGTCAAATTGGGCTTGCCAATTTTCATCAGATTCTGATGCTTGCAATACATTTTTTCCACGTGGTAGTAACTTCACTTTAGGAGTAGATTATTTTTGGTAACAAAGTCTGTAAAGATTGCCTACAATAGGGACTGTAACTTTTTTTTTTTACATTATGTACCAATAACAAAAGATTTTTAGCTTTTCTAAATAGGTGTGGTTAAGACTCACTTAACACAGCGAGCTCTGAAGTGCTCTATGAACCCAAGGCTCCCTCTCTGCAAGTGTCAGTGCATGATATAAAGCAATTTTATAAACCAGGCTTCAGCAGTCTCACAGGAAGATATCCTTGTTCTAAGCTTCTGGGCCAGATTGTTACCTTTAGTACGCTGCCACTGTTCCATTTTCTTCAATGAAGCTATGATGATTTATACCAGTGGAGGAAACAAGATGATATATCCCAACATGTATCTAGGTCTGTATGTATTTTAAAGTCAGAACTGCTCACCTGCCTTTTATTAGTTTAATGTAACTTTCACATCCCTTTGACTTTGAAAGCATTCAAAGCCTTATTTTTTAAAATATGAACATAACAACTAATGATAGTTGGAAAGCAACTCTGAAAATGTCTGGTTGCCTTTTAATGACGTTTCAGCTACTGATTAATGTAAGGCAAGTAAAAATGAGAGCGACCGGACTGCCAGCTAGTCACCTCACTACACAGTCCTTAATTCTTTTTGTCTACTTGTAACTGAGTCAGCCTAATACGCTGGGAAATGCTACTTTTAACTTTTAGTTTTAATGATTCAATATTGCTATTATATTGGTAGCTAGCATATAAAATGTAAAAGGGTAACATTAATCAGAGGTGTTAGTACTGGCTGCTGGTCAGACTCCTGAAATACCAGCAACGCCGTAACAAATACTACTAGTTCTAGCAGAAACAGCTCTTGGAGTTGTTGTGTCCTAGATACAGCAAAAGTACCAAGAGATGATTAACAACTTACCCAGAGAGAAATTTAAAAAAAAAAAAAAACCAAACAAAAAAACCCCCACCAAAACCTGTGTAAAAAAAAAAAACAAAAAACCCAAACCCGCAACAGAAAAAACACCCAACAAACAAAACAAAAAAACCCCCAAACCCACCAAAGAACAAAACAACAAACCCCAACAGAAATGAAAACACAGGTCTAAATCCTCCACTGGGGTAAATCTGTAGGACTCCCCTGACTGTAGGGGTAAGGCAGGTTACGACAGCTGAGAATGTGGCTTGCTTCTGAGGGAGAAGAAGCTTACAACGTGCAACTTTCACAGATAACCACAAACATTGCAGTTCACCATTCACATTTCTTTCAACAAGGGAACGGGGGGAGGTGGGATGCTGGGATTTTCCTTTAGTATGCTTTTCCAAAAGTTATTAAAGTTACACTATGATAAATGCTGGAAAACAGAAAGACTCAAAGGATTTCAATTTGGCAGATCGACAAAAAACTGTGGTTGGAGATCAAATTTGTTTCATTCATCTTTGGCAATAAAAATAAATCTTTGCAGTACTGCAGCCAAAGTATCATATGGTAAGGCGTTTATACCACGGCTTTTTATTAGCACGAAATTTGAAGAAAATTTCAGCATATAAATTACAGGTAATGAGACAAGGGGAGGGTAATCAAACTCTCTAAACAACACTTTAATTGCAATAGAGAAAATACAGTAGATGTATTTCTTTAATATGAATAATAAAGTGAGTAACTTCAAAAGGCCACTATTTGGTAACGTGGACAGGTTCAATATCTAAGTAAAATCCTGTAAAAGTGTATTGGTATTAGAAATTGTCTACTTGCAAAAATATATTTAAAAACTGAAGCTGTTTTGAACAGTATAGGCCATGGAATATTGCAGGATTGTTCAGGTTGCCTGGTCCAGTGCTCTGAGCAGTTCGCTGCCCTGCAGAAGCGTAGAGCTGCCCAAAACTGGGACGTTCACCTCACAGTCATATCTTGTCAACTCAGGCAACAAGTAGGGTTCAAAGGAGGGCCCCAGCAGGCGACTGGTCATACCTGGAAGAGATTAGTGAAGTAAGTCATGGTGCTGAGACCAGAGAGAGGACTTCTCTCCTCTCCTCTCCTCCCTCTTCTGTTTTTACCAGTTACAATTTAATTTTGTGTTTATGTCAATATGCTTCAAAGCACCGGCAGTTACAGGTTTCAGAGCAAACTTATGCAAGTGTGTCACACGGACACATGCAGTTTTTCACCTTCACCCCCAATTTAGATTGTTCTGAGAAAAATTATAGTGGTGCAGTAAACACCACAGGTTTCTAAATTGACACCTGCTCCCCTTATATATTAAAAAGGACACATATATGTCCCCTTTAATTACTTATTTTAACTTTTAGTAGGCACGTGTTAAGACTCTAACCTATAAACACCCCACATCCAATGCTGCAGTGAAGTTGTTTAGTACAATTGAATCAATTCCATCACAAGACAAGAGTATGCATGGAGGATGACTGGACCTCCAAGGTGAGAAGGCATTATGTTTAATAGACATGAAGGGCAAAAATATTTTTTTCCTCATATATTACAAATGTAAACATTAAAGTTCCACACTAAACAATAGAACAAATCTTTTCTCTATGAAGCAACACATATTTGGTTCTTTTTTTAAGTGGGTTTGGTTTTTTTTTTTTTCATGGAATCAGTATTGGAACTAAATACCAATATTTTCCAATTTCTGTTTTTGACAGCTCTTACCTGAAGCTTTATGAGCTGGCTGGACAGTATAGTCCTGATAATGGGAACTGTAAAATGGAGGGGGAAACGCTCCTGCTTTCAAATTCTCACCAGGACTGCCACAGGTGAGTAGCTGCTGCTGCTGCTGTTGCTGCTGCTGCAGTTGATTCATTGGTTGGCTCAGGCTTCTTGAGTTACAGACAAATTCATCTGATTTACACAGTTGGGAGGAAAAAAAAAAAAGGTAAATTGAGCCACCGTAATAGTTATATGAGATAATACTAATTCAAAGCAAAATGATCCTTGGCACGACGGTCACATGGCACAGGCATACCAAAGGGAGTCTAGAAACAGCACTAGCTCTAGAAGTAGTATTGCACCCGAGATAAGATATGCTTGTTTAAGGAAACACAATGTTGTAGAGAGAAAGTATCAGTTCTAGTTCTGAGATGTCCACACCTCGGATCAGCAGGACGTAAACCCAGCTCCGTTAAGCTGATCTCTGTTACCTCCACGGTGAGGGTGTGAACACACATGAAACCATCTACCTGGGAGTTATCAAATGTACCTTAAATTGCTCAGCTCTTAGTGATACAACCCGATCTTTAATTTTAGCTTAGTGTAGTTATTTACAGAGCTTATTTACATTTCCTTTTGAAAGAGCTTTTGTGTCTATTCAACCTGTCTTAAAATTGTGTTTCAATACGTAACATTGCAAAACCATTTTCTTTTGTCTTACCAGTAAGAACACTTGTGCTGAGAGACTTCTTTTCTGTAACCAAGGAACAGTTTTCCCCTTTGAGAAATTTCATTCTCTTCCACATTAGGTGAGATGGGTTAATGACCGAAGGATCTCCCTAGAATGTGAAGAAAAGCAAAACAAATAATTACACCGTTGACCGTGGTGAGTCCGAGGTTGTGAAGGGGATGCATTTCTTAGGATTACCCCACTCAGCTGCTGCAACGCTTGTTCTTCATAATCCAGTTGTCGCTTCAGTTTCAAACTGTTAGACAAAGCAATTCTTGCCGGGTTTACATCTATGCCTCGCTGACCAAAAGCATCCAGGGGCCTGTGGAGAAAAGATCTCTGGGTGAGTGAGCAGGGAGGCAAACCTAAACTATCTTGTTCATTTATACAGATTCTTCTTTCATTTAAAGACACTTAAGGTGTCTTTGGCACATGGCAGCGGACAGACCTCAAATGTCAAATGTTTTTACTTCCTTTTGTTAGTCATTCCACAAGCTTTGGAAACTTTTGACTTTTGGGATCAAAGATTAATGAAAATCTATCATAAACAGCCTCTAGGAATCTCCAGGCAGCCATAAAAATGCTGTGGAAAAGTAAGTAATGCGATTTTTCAAGGGTAGAATTTTGAGAGCCACGCCTGTCCCCTTGCTTTGCATACTAAATATGAACACACAGGTTGCTGTTTGGGGAGAACCCCTCTTTTTCCAGATGCATATTCAGACACTGGTCTTTCTGCCAGCAAGAAATCCCAGAAAGCAAACTGCGGGCAAGCTGCACAACTTCATGTTTTAAAATGACCTTTGCTATTTTATGTATCTTCCTGAACGTTTCAGCATGACCAACACTGAAGACCCAGAAGCTATAGAGGAACTTCTAGCTATGCCAGGAATCTTTAAGGACTGTAGCCTCTGATCTCATCGCCTACTGATGATGTGTGTAAGAAAGTGAACAAGGTGAGGAAGGGTTGTAGAAAAAAAGCCTGTAACTTTACATCTTAGTCATAGTATTTACATATGCCAGCAACAAATGTACTGTCACCTGTCCCTCTCCCCTGTTTTCTGGTGTGCAGAAAATATATGCAAGGTTGAGAAAGTATGCATGGGTCCCAGCTTAGTGCTGAACCAGTAAGCCTTTTCAGTACTTTCCTTAAACTGCATAAAGTCAAGCAGGCTTTGCAAAATTACTGGGGTAATTTTTACCTGACCAGCAGGAAATCCATTCATGCATCCTTACAGACAATAAAAAAACTAGCTCACTTCTGCTTTGACCAGACTGACTGCCACTGGGAGAGCACCATACTAATTTCCCCAGAGGTGCTGTCTGATACAACTTATTCCATCTGAATTGAGAAAAAAGGAGTTTTTCAAGATTATGACACCCCCCCCCGCCCCATCCCCCAAAGTCACTTCAGAGTAAAATACACAGTTATACCACAAAAACTCTTACCTTTTTTTATATATGGGCACGCTTGGAGAATGTACTGGTGGCCCTGAGGGGGAACTTGATAGGGATCCTGAGTATTTATCCATGAGTCTCCATTTAGCAGGAATATATTCTAAGGGCGGGTCAGGTGGCCACTGGGTGTTTGGTCTTCCTCCCATCGAAGACAGGGGAGTGTTGGCTTGGTCGTTGTATGGTGGCAGGGATGACCTGCACACACTGTTGAAGAACACCGATGACAGGGACCCATGGCCAGGGTTAATGTTTTTATTTGATAGCTGTGGGCAATATTTCTCTGGGAGGAACTGATTCTGTGACGCAGAAGCAAGAGGTTGGAAGATGGTACTCATGCTACTTAGACTCTGCTGGGTATTTTGTGCATTTTCAGAGAGAGGACGTTCTTCTTGGCAGATTGGGCTGAGCTGGAAATCTTCTCCATCCATAGGAATGTAAGGAGCCAAGGTTTCAAGGTCCAGTTCATTGAAGTCAGTCTGCGCAAAAAGAAAGTAAGTTCATAAAGAAACCAGAGGTTAGTAATAGTTGTGGCAGTTAATGTGACATGGAATACTAGTAAGATGTGAAGCTGAAAAAACACTGTATGCCAAATTTACCTACGTGAAACTGGCCAGCTCCTATTGAAAGATATCTTATTTATATCGACCAGCATCCATGTTCATCATATCATCATCATCAAAGACAATAAGCTGAAGAAAAAACCCTCCAGATAAGCAGTATTTGCTAAAGCAGCTTGCATGGCAGTCTGCAACATCAGAGTGATCGGAAGTAGATCTTGTGTTTCGCTACGCTTTGAGTAACTTGTCTGCCAAGACTCTACAACATGTGGCATGTAGTTCAACCTCAGGCTTTTTCATGCTAAAATAGAAAGCACAGCTTTCTCATAATCCAGCTACATGAAAAAAAAGCATCAAAAAATGCAAAAGTTTTAAAAAAACGTAGTTGGAAGGACACTACTGCACTTAAATCTGTTTTTTTTTTTTTTTTCCCTTGGAGGACTTCTCATACTTAAATTAATTTCTCTTGGCATTTAACCAGAGCTGAACTGAGAGGGAAATCAACATTGGCCCACCACTCAGCTCATGACAGGGCCACTTTTCTAACATTTATTTTTCCCACCACCAAAGCCGCTGATGGGGTGGGACACACCTGAGCAAGCAGATGCTGAATCTGACAAAACTGAAGTTTGCACATGTCAGGTCTTGCACTGAGTTTGATCCTGACCCACAGTTTCCTCCTATCTGCCCACTCCTTCTGTTGCTTTCATTGCTGTTCCTATGTCCAGACCTAGATGAAATTTCTTCAGGACATGGACCAGAGCCTACCTAAGTCTGCAAATTGCACTGGCAAATCGAGGCACCTCATTTGGGCCCCAGTCACCCCAAACTCTCCGTAGGATTAATAGAAGGAGGTGAGTGTTAAGTCTGAGCTGCCAGCCAGCAACGCCTGTTCCTTTCTCTTAACTATAAAGAAGTACAAGCTCTTAACAAAGGCAGATCAATTAAGTAGCTAAAGTTTAGGTGGGCTGAATCAGGCCTACACCTTTTATTCACTAGCTCACTTGATGGAATGTCATAATAGTGGAGGAGCGAGTTACAAAGGGAATTCCTACACTTCCACCCTGATTAGAATGCAGGTGGAGACTGTATGTTACTTTATGTGCAAGTAATTGTCACATCTCTTTGAAATCCTCCAAGAGGTAAGACCAGAAGAATATAACCAAAATGACAGTTTTCATTTTGTAGTTAAAGGAGATAAGTGCTGTGAGGGGCATTCCTTTCTCATTTTGACATTTTACAAGAAGGAGTTTATTTACATCTTGTTCTAGGAAGGATGTTTACTCACTAGTCATTAGGCCAGATTAAAAAAAATTGCTGCTGCTTATATTCCTCATCCAGTCTACAGTAGCTTCCAAATTCTGAAAGCTCTCTGTTGCTTCTTTCTTAGCAGTACCACCACAGTGACACCCTAAAGCACTTCAGACAGGGATAGAAATTGACACACAAGCTTTTGATAGTGCATGTTTTTGTTAGCGTTGTGCATCAAAGCTTTGGGGCATACGTGCAAATGCAGCTTGCATGCTATATCATGGCATCTGCACATGCAGCATGCATCTGTGCTACCTACTAGCAAGGGACTGATTTTTATGGCTTTTGGAAGAGAAAATAGTTCCTTACCTGGGAGGTGCACTGACTTTTTGATTCTGTGTCCATGGCAAAAAGTTTTTCAATCACCTCAATCTTAAGATCTTCATCCACAGAACTGTAATAATCTCCTGGGCTGCTTGGCTGCACAGAAATAAGAATTTGCTATAAGCAGCAAGACAACCACTGTACTATTCAGTAACAGATCTTTCCTCTGAAAAGCAAATGGCCAGACTGTACATATGGCATCCTCAGAACCAAAACCGTCCACTTCTATCATTTGGTTTTCTCCAACACAAGGTTACCTGTGACTGCAAAACATCAGCGCTCAATACAGGAACCTCGCTCTGTTCTTAGTTTAATGAATGTTTTTTGGCAGCTTAGACCAGGACATGAAATGTACACTACTGAATACTTTTGTCAAGAAGGGAGATGCTTGGTAATACCTCGGTGCCTTTCTTACGATTGGACATCCTCTAGTAAAGGCTGGCTAAAAGTGGCTCCAGCTCTTGGGGGCAACGCCCTGAAAGCACGTTCCTTCTTTCAGTGGGGAAACTCCACGGAGCTGCTCTCAAAAGCCTGAGCTGGGGAAGCTTTCTACAGACTACAGCTTCTGCTCAACAAGCAGAAAGAGGATGGGTCTGGGGCAACGTTGCTAGCGACCACAGTATTTTACATTGGCTTTTTATTTCAGGCTAGCTCCACGAAAGGTGGTAGCACGTCCTTCTACTACCTGTTTTATAGGTTATAGTAATTACTGAGGAACAGCTGGGAGAAAACGAGGATTGCAGTGTAAAGGCAGGATACGGTTCCCAGTTGATGTGTTTGCTATTGATGCTTAAGATGCGTGCAGTACAGGAGGGACAGAGATACACTGGGCCTTGTTACCAATCAACGAGACAGGACTGCTACCATGAAAACATCACCTACATGTATTGATGGGACTTACACACACAACCTAACATGCTTTTTTTTTTTTTTTTTAAAAAAAAAAAGCTCTTTCTTACCGTGGAACAGCTACTGTTGCTGCTTGCACTTGGAGTACTGCTGCCAGGTGCAATCTGAGGCATGGTAAAGGATGGTATCGTCAGCGTTTCCCCTGGAGCAGCGTGGCTTTTCACTTCCCCAGGCCACGCTTTGTTTGGTGTCAAAACAGCACTGGTGAAGGCAGGGGCTTCCTCAAACTTCTGTGTCCCTGGATGGAGTTTTAACAATATTAATGAATGCTTTTAGCTTGTGCTGTGTTATGATATAATTGCAGCTATTCATTAAAAGTAAACACTGCTCCTAGTTGCCATGACAATAAGTTGGCATAGACTTAATGCATGTTGTTTAGTCAGCAAGAAAGCCTGATTCTGCCCTCATTCACAGAAATTTTCCACTGATGTGAGCACGTGAGCTCTTACAGCCATTACTCCGGATTTGTACACACAGCAAACAGACCTTGCCTATTAAGTTTCTAAATGTAGGCTCACACGTGTTTCTTTGTTGCACAAAAATTATTTATACAAATACTAACCAAAATCCAGGGAAATAATGGCATCGCCAGGTGTTGGTGCCAGCTGAGCAAGTTCCTCTGGTTCCTCCTTTAACTTAGTAAACAAGAAGTCGCTCTTCTCTGTCCCGGGGATGCCGCTCTCGTAGGCGGAGCTCATCGTCAGCAGGTGAGGCTTGAAGAGCGATTCTGTTTGGTCCATGGAGAACACAACATCGTTCTTCTCAATTTCACTACCAAGAAAATAGGGTTTAGGCATTTTGCACTCTAAAAAAAACCCCCAACGATGCGGGCACTGTAGGCAGTACAAAGTCTCTGAAGCTGGGGCCCGCACAAGCGTTTTGGGCTCTCTCAGTCGCATGCCAGGCTCTCGCCAGGCGAGGCACGGTTCCAGCGTTGCTGAGCACCACCATCTCAGATGACGCAGAGAGTGTGGTCAGGGCTTCTGTGGGAATAGTCGGGGCTTTGTTGCTCTGCTTTTTAAAGGGATGTAGTCGAGGCTATAATGACCCAGACTATCACTCAAATAAGTATTTCCTAGTTTGGCCCCGTCTAGGACCAAAATACTTGAGTTTTGCCAAACAGAGGCAAAACTCCTGATTGGTCCTGATTTTTGAGGCATTAAACAGCTTCTCCTAGCAACGTCAGATACAATTACTACTTAATTTTATCTCTCTGTCACCGCATCAGAAAAACGAAACACATTAGCAGTTGCATTACACAACAGAATCTCCACTGCAGGCTTTATACTCTGTTGTATCAGCACAGCAGCCACTCTGCAGAAGAGAAAGGCTGTGGGGCATTTCAACAGCGTATGGGAACGGGCATGCCGCATTTTTCATCTATGGCTAACGTCAGTAAACAAGACCGAACAAACATGACTAAACTGATTTCAGAACAACAAGGCTGAATAAATAGACCCTTCAAACGTTCCTCTGATTAGCGCATTTCTTCCAGCACATGAATCCACGTGTCGTTTTTCTGTCCCATACAACTTACCTCAGCACGTAGTTGACACAGACGATACACTGAGGCTGTAGGTTGCGAGTGTTGTAGATCACCGTTCCTTGAGTCTCCAGCCATACGTATCCACCATGCTTGGCAAGCATACGGTACTGGCCCGTCACCACTTGACCTTTTGTACACACTGAGAAACGGGAGCAGAGAGATATAAATAATGCAGCATGACAGGAACGTGCAATACGTAACTCTTGTTTTAAATAACCAACTTCTGAGTTTTCATTATGCACTAAGACATTGGTTAGCCAGCACGCTTAACGTTGGGAAAATCCAGCCATTTTAAATATAAAAGGGGCTGCTCATTTGAGGTTTCCGCTCAAGGTTGGAAACTTGAGTTCTGTCATTTGAGTTCTTGAGAATGGTTTGAGTATCCAGATCAGAGTGTGGGCTAAATTTAATTTAAGATCCCAACCTCCCCCAAAATAATGCCTGCTGACTGCATGTTTCTTGAGAAGTTCTGTTCTAGAAGTGCCTCCGTTTGGGCTCCCAAGCTGATCTGTAGAAAAGTTGATTTATTTATTTAGGTGATGGATTAAGCCATAAGAGTCAGAGGATTTTAAAGTTATGCTCACAAAAAGTTAAAAACATCTCGTGGTTTAAATCTATACCTGTCTCTTTTTATACCTGAAGAGTTAGGAGCTGGAGATACCAACACAACAAATAAAGTGAAGGTGTCACTAGTACAGCATTGGTCTTAAGGCGCTAAAGAAGTACTATCACTCTTAAAAAAGTATCAAAATTAAGAACAGTAAATGGGACTGTTTTGCCTAGGAGGAAAAAATAAAGCTGAACTACTGTATTTCTCTGTCTGCTTGAATTGTGTTGTTCCTCTGCAATAGCTTGGAGTTAGCAGCCTAGAAGGAACCAAGAGCCATGTGACAAATCAAATAATGTTTATTTAACTCTAAATGGTTTTTCTGAACTGGCCTATGTTTCTCAAGCAAGAAACTGACAACTCTGGTTTAAAGCTTCATCAAGATGGTTGAAGGGTGAAATTCCCCACCCCTCAATATTTCGTCATATTTGAACAGAATGAGTTTTCAGTGTGGAGCTTTGGACTTCTGAGATGTACAGTTTTATCATGTCCTTTCTGTTGTAAATCCCCTCCTAAAAAGCAATGAATATTGTCACACAATTCAAAGCTGGCAGTTGAGGAAAAACATTGTCGATCAATGGCAATAAAATTGGGGCTGGAGTATGCAAGCAGTACTTGTACTAGTAAGAGTTTGTATTTGTAAGCAGACGGAGTCGCACTGAGTAGCAAAAGTGGGAACTGGCTCAACTAAACCTTTGACCGCATTGGCAATCTTTCCTTTTACACAGCTTTTATGCCTGAAGACAGTATGCCATCAAACTAATGCCCTAAAAATAATGCAATTTGACAAAGTAAGGCTGGAAACTTGATTCTGCAGTCTTTGTACAGAAAAATTCCCTGTGAATGCTATCTATTGTCAGCCTCTCCTACATCGCCACCGGACAAATGTACAAATCCAGGCTTGTGAAATGCAACAACTGTTTTGCAGATAATTGTTGCTATGTTTATCCGTCTATCTCTGAAGTTTGTTTGTTTTCTTCCTAGGAGTATTTAATCATCCTTCGCTTAATTTATTTAGACAAAGTAGAACATTACTTTTATTGATTAAATACTTCTGGTGGAACAAAATCAAAAGTCTTTCATTTCAAAGTGTTTTAGTGACTGGACTGTTCTGCTCTGCTTGTGAAACATAATTACACTGCTTCCTAATCATCAGCTCATCAATAAGAGTCACAGTGTAGGCGCCTGTTACATTACAAAGAAGCTTTTTACTGCTTTAATCTTTTTTATTATTATTATTCAAAGCATGTCATGTTCTCATATAATGAAGTACAGCAGAATCCCTTCGTGGGGTAATCTCATAAATTACTAATATGCTCCTAACCGCTGACTTTGTTATCAACGCTACATTTCAGGTTCTGCCTTCAGAGTGAACTTCTTACTCCTTTCCCCGCCCCCCCCTTTTTAAGTATATATTACCTGTAACTTTACAGAACTAGTAACATCTCAGGGAAACAGGCTCCAGTTGTGTTCCCTGTCTTTGGGTGGAGAAGGGGGGGAAGGCAGGGATGAACTTAATTGAACACAAAATTTGTTTTTTCCTTGCTGAGAGACACTTGAGAAATGCGATTCACTTGAAAGGCTTGTTGAACTTCTGCTACATACTACCAAGTGGCAGGTCCCAGATGGTGACATTCAGCTCCTCACTGAAGTCAAGAGCAAAATTCCCATTGGCTTTAATGGCAACAAGACCAGACTCTAAGTGGAAGCAATTATATGTTATTAATTGCTGAATTGGAAAATATAGCTCTACAGTCAATCGTTTGTGTAGATTTATGTAACAAGACAAGAGATTTTCATCTTGCTTGCATAACACGTGGAAAACTGAGTATGCTAAATACTGCCAAATGCGCGCTAATCTTCCATTTGATGGTGACTAATTAAGACTTTCGTACTCTATAGGTAACTATACTTCCAGCCAAGAACAGAAACGCTATTGTGGCTTGCTTGAATGTGAGGTTGTTACTTCACCTCAAGAAAAAAACCAAAACCCTGCAGTACAGTAAAACTGCAATAAGTATGATTTATCGCTGAATTAGAAGGAAGCAAAGGGAAGGAGTTCTGCTTTTATCCAAGAGACTCATTTTAGGTTTTTCTTCCTCTCTCTCTTCAAACTTCAGTCTCATTCATCTATTTCCTATAAGCACCTTTAAAAACACTAAATGTTTGGCACTGTCAGAATTGATGACTGTATTATTGCATGAATGTTTACTCTATACATAGCATATTTCTAAGAAAAATTATTGTTTAATAAACATGAGTTTTGAGGTGGATATTTCCATGTATAAATGACCATGGCCAAGAAGACCAACGAAGTTCTGTATAAGCTATATACCTGCTTGGTTACCCTGTGCTTAAGACAACATCTCAATGACACACATTATGAAACCCAGAGATTTCTTACTTTGAGGGCTTCTGTGTATTTTCTCAGGTCACAGCTTGCTGTCACCTTGCCTTTGTGGTTGTTCACTGAGTTGGTGAGAAGCCTGACTGTCCCAGAAGACATGGCAAATATTTATCTTAGAAAAACTAAAGGGGTCAAATTTGCTGGCGATGTAAACTGATGGGTCTGTTGTGGGCAACAGCATTTATCACAGCTCAGACTTTGGTCCTGTGCTTCCAACAGCAAAGACCATCCATGCTGATCCTCTGCTACCATAAACACTGTGGAACAGTTTGATCCTAAATATTTATAACCTATGCAGTGCACAGTGCCTTGAGCACTTTTGCTGGTAAAACTCATCCCTCTAGACTTTCCCTTGCCTTCATTCTGCTTCTTGTTCAGTGCTCATGCTCAACAGCAAAAGTCTGTAAGACAGACATGGCCCTTTTCAGTAGGCACAAATGGCGTCTAGACACTCTGCGTTACACGAGGTGAACTGAATTGCTTGTCAAGATGGGTACCAGAAACTCTCCAGAAATCTTTACACAGACAAGTCCCAACTCAGTGGTCCCATCTAATTACCTAGATAGGGATAACCGGGAAGGGCTGGTGCTCTCTCATTACCAAAGAGAGCCAGCTCTCACTTCATTCCCTCCCTGGCATTGTCCCATTCTTAGAAATGCAACTCAGTGATTCAAAAGCCATAGTGCAGCACATGCCCTGATTTCTCAGGATGACTCTCAATAGCCCAGCATAGGATATGGACATCCAATCTATGAATGTCACTAATACCTTTTCACTGTTAAAGCCACGAACACATTACCTAAGAAACAATTTTAACAAATGCATTCCTGGACAACTCTCTGTAACTATGGTTTGATTTCTTTTTTTTTTTTCTTTTAAGCAGCTCTGGAAATGGGATGATTCATACCAACACTGTTTTACAGCACACAGCTTCAATCACTGCCAAACATTCTTTCAAGTAACATTTCAACTCAAAACTGTCCTGAATCCTTGCCATTAGACCGAACACATATTCCCTTTTCCCCTTAAGGTCATACAGTTACTCTTTGCTGCTACTTTTCTCTGGGAAGTACAGAAATGCTTTCTCTAAGTCTATTTGGTGGGCAATTCCCTAACAGACATGACCTAAGTCATGGGCTTGTTCCTGAGGGTAGAGACCTTGACCATAGTAACTACAAGGTGGGAGGTTTTTTTCAGCTTGTGGACTCCAGTCTAGGAGCTTTGCTTTGGTTTTTTTGTAAAAAGAGCAGCAGCAGATGTTTTAGCGATGTGATGCTGAGAACGCTCCCGTACGCTAGTTCAGTGGGTGCAAGAGCCAAGGGTGGGAAATGTCCTTTGTACCTTAGTACACCATGCTGTCCCCAGCCATAGTGCCAACTCTAAGGACAGAGACTGAAGATTTAAATCCAACAATTTTAAGATACCTTATGTGAGAGAGAGAGGAAGCATAACTGTGTGGCCTCCTGGAGACAGGGGGCAGATATTGGATCTGATCTCTGCTCCTGAAATAATTTGGGTACTTTACATTACAAACAGCTAAGACTGTCAGTCACCTAGGCATATGAATAACAAGAAGCAGCTGTTCCTGGCAGAATATATTATTTGTGCCATGAATATTCCTTGCACATCTGTTTTGGGTGAGGAAAATAGTTGTTATTTGGTAGCAGAAGACAGGCATTCAAAAATACACTGCAACAGCCTCTTCCTATTACCCTTTACAGCTGCCCTTTCTGCTGAGCCCAACAGCACACCAGAAGGATAATACCACCAGTAAGCTCACTTCTCACCAGTCTAGTACTGCCTAACTCAGCTTTTCAATTTTTCAGCTGATCCTTGTATTATCCCTTAGAGAGACAGCGATTCTCCTCTCTACTATCCACGTTTAAATTATGAGAAAAATCAGACCCTCTGGAAAGATAAGCAGCAAGTTTCAGCTGGACAAGCACAGTAACACGTAAGCTTCCTTGCAAAGTGTAAACACTGTTCTCAGAGAGTATCTGCACACAAGGTACGTTTGTATTTTCAGCTACATATTGAGGTACCTGCAAGCGATGCGTTCTGTGCAAGCTATGAAGAAAAATAAGCATGTGACTTACAGTTCTGGTGACTCTTGGTCATACTCTCCGAGTCCAAGGCATGGTAGAACTCGTACGCCGAACGGCCCAGCAGCTCCTCAGGATGGTATCCAATCAACTCTGTTATTCTTTGTTAATTAAAAAACAAATATTTAAAATTCAGGTTGCCTTAGCCTTGTGCTCCCATGCGCAGGGCAGCTCTCAGCAATAGTCCATAGACTAACAGAATTAAAACCACAATATGAGAAATTCTGAACTTCCAAACACATTCACAACTGTAGAGGACTTCTGATCACGTTCTGAAATATTTCTATGTTCAGAACAAACTGCCTTTTACCACTACTGGAATAAAAATTCCAAGGGATGTCATTACATGTGTCGCAAATTTTCCCTGGCCTGTTGCACAGTATCTCTTGTAAAAGGTCTCAGCTGGAAAATCATTGCTGACAAAGTTCTCAAGCTACATGCAGAAACTCCCAACTACCATAATTCAAAATCAAATGCATGTGAAGGGGATAGTGGTTGCCACCATCAGGTTTAAAAGTATGTGTACATTTTAAAAAACATACATAAAAGGGTTAAAAATCACTACTTTGGGTATTGCATTTAAGAAAACAAAAATGCAAGGTGAGAAATTAAGGGCAGTTAAAAGAAAAAAATCAGCTCTTCTACTTGGTGTTTCTCAATTATATGAGAACTTTAGCATATGGATTAGGTTACTTGGGTAACTAATCCACAAACTAAGTAGGATTTTACACAAAGAACGCTATGATCTCAAAACCGAGACTTTTTTCAGAGCCTTTCTGAGTACTCAGGCAAGACAGGATTTCTCACAAGTTCCTGAATAAATGAAAATAGGTCATCAAACTGTGCAGATGATTTTTTTTCTAATGAGGGGGTGGAGGAAAAGGGTTCTTTTTTCCTAAATCCAATTTGAAATTCCATCACACACAACTTCACAGGAAACACGGTTAGTAAAAAAATAATTCAAAAGCAAAGATATCGTATCTTCTGGGAAATAAGGAAACATTGCCGCTTTCCAAGTCAACAACACTCTTGGATGCCTTTTCCTAGCTTTTGAACTGCAACAACAACCTGTAATGTGGCAGAGAGCAGTAGCAGGAACGACTACGGACTGACTGCTAAGCAGTCATAAACCTGGAAAAGCCAGGAGGTTTGCAAGGAACGGTCACACCTTGCAGCACGTCAGTGGTAGTGCCCCAGTTTTCCCTTGGAAAGGCTTTATCTGCCACCACCACATTGGATTAGTGGTGTTGCTGCTTTTAAGATACATATCCTCAGGTTTGTGTACTCCCTGGGAGGACAGCCTGGGCCCAGCCCTCCAGACACAAGCATGTCTTTACAAGACAGACATGTAAATACTGTAAAACAAACAGAGCAAGAGCACAGCATTCATCTCCTGGATCCCTCTCCAGCAAGGAAGACACATAAGATGGAGCTATTTTGTGTATGGTTTGAATGCCAAGGCATTGAGTCAGCCTTTCCCTCGCCTCCACGGAACTGTATAGCTCATGCCCCAGGGACATCTTGGTTTTGTCACTCTGAAAACTACTCTTTATCCTGATTTCCATGGAACAAACCTGGGTTTGCCATGGTTTTAGCTGAGCAAAGACTGTAGTTGGTTTTGTTGGGTTCACCCCGAAGACTTACTCTTCTGTTTATGTTTACAGTTAGACTGACAAAGGGGAAATTCTTGAATCGGGTTTCAAAGAGTTGCTTTTTTTGACTCTCTTCACTGACAAGCTTCTCAGCTTTTAAACTGCGCCCCAGTCAAATCTGTAACTTTTCTCTGAAATCACAATTGCTTTTTCTTTTTTCATAAAAGCAGAAGTTC